CACACACACACACACACACACACACACACACACACACAGCCAGCAGCCTTCCGTTCCAAGCTGGAACTGGGGCTTGGATAGGCTCGCATAAGATCTTTCCCAAGCCCGGAGAGTTGGCAGGTCAGAAAGGGGCTTTCCAGACAAATCGCGTTTGGGAAACCTTTGCTATCCTGTAGGAATTAAAAAGTCCAAAGGCTCCTTTATAGAACCCAGCCTTTCCTCCCTTTCAGAAGTTAAATCTTGCTGAATCAAGTCTGTCAGATACTTCGCTGGAAACAGGCAAGTGAGATTTGAATTCAATCTGCAACCGGATAGTAGATTTAGTCGGAACCAAGATTTCCCCGGAAGTGGGAAAGTAGCCAATGTCTCTGCCTAGGGGAAGCACCATGTACAATGAACAGAATGATGCAAACGCAGAAATGTAGATGATTCTTCTCCGGGAAAACGGCTGGCCCCTCCCTTGACTTGAGAGAAACTGAACTGGCCTCAGCACTATCTGTTCCAGAAACCCCTTTCCCGGTTCCTCCCCGAGGGCCCGACCTGCCCGCTGCCCCGGAGCGCCCCCGTCCTCGCGCGCGGCGCCCCTACCAGGTTCACCGGGTGCACGTAGCCATTCTCATAGCGGTCCTCTTGCAACAGCTGGCGCAGGTGCGCGATGTAGCTGGACGCCAGCCGGAGCGTGTCTAGCTTCGAGAGCTTGGTGTCGGGGGGCACCCAGGGCAGGCTGGTCTTGAGCCTGGAGAAAGCTTTGCTCAGCACGCGCATCCGGGCGCGCTCGCGGGCGTTGGCCGCGTTCCGCTGCGACTGCTTGCACTCGGCGGCCGAGCCCTTAGGCTGGAAGGGCTTCTTGCCGCCGCTGCCGTGGCAGCCGCTCCCGCCGCCGGCTGCGCCGCCGCTCCCAGCCACACGGGGCCGCTTCCTCTTGCAGCCTTCCGGGCCATCGGCCGCGCCCAGCGCGCAGCTCTCCTCCTCGCCGTCGGGGTCCTCCTCCTCCGCAGACGAGTTGTCACTGGGAGATGCGTAGCTGCGCTCGGCGCTGTGGAGGGGCGGCCTGGTGGAGGCGGGAACTGGGTACCCCCGCTGCAGCACCCGCAGCTCCGTCTCCTCCGGGTCGCTCACCGAGCCGGTGGACATCGCGTCGTCCCCCGCGCCTTCGCGCACTCGCCTTTCTCCCCCTGGCCAGTCTCGCCGTCTCTGCCCTCGGCTCCCTCGCGGAGGCGGGGGCCAGGGAGAGCTCCGGGAAGGACCGGAGACGGGGGCCGGGAGGCGCGGGGCCGTGAGAGCGAAGTGGGCGGTGAGAGCGAGCGCGCTCCGCCGCTGACCTGGGGGAGCGCAGCCCAGACACGGCACCCTGGGCCAGGCTCCGCGCGCGCGCAATCGCGAATTGCGCCTTTTGACAGGACAACTTATCTGTACTCCTTAGAACAAATCACCCCGGGCAAAGAAGAGAGGTTTGGAGAGGGGGGCAAGAGGTGGGGCGGGGGCGTGGAAGGGGTGGGAACCGCTTTCCTGCGCTCAGAAGAGCCATTGGTGGGGG